ATTTATACGCCAGAGAATATCAATCCTTCCGAGTGTAAATCTGATGAAATAAAGCTCCTCATAAAAAAACCTTCAGCCGTTCGGAGGCGGCTTAGTATAAACTGTAGGTCCCTCTAATTGTTTGGAAAAACATCAAGACGCAAAACCACAAATTGGAGGAAGAGCTCAACCAAATATCCCTCTAGCGGTTAAAGTGCCAACCAAATACATATATTATTTAATCTGCGGTGAGAAGTCCAACAAAGGAATAATTATTGACATTTCTTAAGGCGGCTAAACTTTAAGCAAAAGTATCATCTTATAAATAAATAGTATCTAGTAAGATATGATATGAAAAGGTAGTAAATGTCAGCCAATTACGATGTAATGCATAAATGCAATGAAATACAAAAACTGCCACAAGCTACACTCCATTAAATCTTTTTCCACCGCAAGCAAACTTAGTTGCACCGAAATTTTCTATTAACCAAACTGAAAATGCTGCACCAAACTGTTTCACTACCTGCAGCAGACACATTTTTTCCATGCGGTCAGGTGTGTTTTATAAGCAAATGGAAACAGTAGAGCACATCAGAGATAAATATTGGTATTTACTTCGTTTGTAGATTACAAATATTTACAAATAGGGTAATTCATTTTATGGTTTCAAAGTGCAGTCTTTTATTTCGACAACTCATAAACTTAACTATCAAACCAAACATGTTTTTTTGTTTGGTTAAATGTCAGGGTATTATGAAAATGTATCGCTTAACTACCAAAAAACCAGTTGTTTTTGAAACTTAATTAAAAAAAATGTTGTTGCCATATTTCGTGCTTAAGAAGAGATTACGGTGCACATGATTGTCCAGCTAATTAAGCAATTGGAAAAATTTTAAAGAAATTTAAGAAGAATGGATCGGTTATAGATATTGTAAGGCCCTTCTCCACCTCAGCTATTGCTGCTGTAAGTGAAATTAGAGCCAAGGATTCGAATGTGTCTATTCCTCGGAGAGCTGTGTCTTAAGACCTACTTTCCACTTGGAATTACACCTTCATCCATATAGAGCCCAATCCACATAACAACTAAAGCTAGCTGATGATTCATAGTGCCGTACATACGTCAGTTAGGTGCTTGAACAACAAAGAGTGAACTGGATTTTAACACTCAGGACATTCGTAAATAAGCAAATTCTCTGCATTTGGAACTCTGAGAATCCTCAAAAAAAAAATTAAGAGAGTCCATTACATCCATAAAAGGATACTGTTTGTTGCGCTCTTAAGTCCTGAGGTATAATAGGACTCTACCGGAGCGTTTTGACCGTATGATAAACGACCTTTTTAGCCGGCACTTGAAAAACAAGACTTAAACCATACCTGTGAGCAAAACGTAAGGTGAATTTTTAATTTGAGTTTCCGGCGTTTAATATTTCGAATTAATTCTTTTTTTTTTAAATTTCACGTCAATGCCATCATTGGTATTTTAGTTACGCTTGTGTTTACTAAACGACTAAAAGTGCCTTCGTGGTTCTTGCATCACGATAATGCATATAGCACTCATTTTTTGGGACAGTTTCGCTAAAACTTCCACGAATATCATTCTCCAACCACCGCATTCGCCGGACTTAGCACCATGTGACTTCAAGCTTTTCCAAAAACTCAAGAGACCACTTCGAGGACACCGTTTTGAGTCGATTGAAAAGACTAAATGTGAATCGGCGCGCTCACTGAAGCCCACACCAGAACGTACATTGCATCGGCAGGAGACTATTTTGAAGGTGACGAAGTCGGTGTAGAAGAATAAATAAAAATTTTTGATTTAACAAACAAATTCACCTTACATTTTGCTTAAAGTATGAGATTTTAACAAGGTGGTACCACATTTAACGAGTAACTATGGCTTTATAGAGAGAGAAATTTCCTGTCAGCGTAATTTCTCGTCTCTCCAGTGACCTTGCGATTTAACAACGCTGGACTCCCTTCGTAATGCTACACGTAAGTCCGTGCTTATGCGTATAAACCTTGGAACCTTTGAGCACTTGCAAAAGAAAATATTCGTCAAGTTATTATATTTATGCCAAAAGGTGTTCAAAAAATACCTTAAACAGATCGAAGTACGCAGAAGTTCTCGAAGAGGTCAGACAAAACTGATGTAGTATTTCATATAAAATCAAATTCAAGCTGGAATTTCATGCAAAAGAATTATTCTATTAACGTTTTGTTTACGTTTATTTTCAGAATCGCAAAATGGATAACACTGTATATGCAAACTCATTCTTAGTTGCTTTGAAAGCCATTTGCAACATATGTGTCCCTTCTGCCTTTTATATTAGACTTTATTGTAAACCTTGCACTTTTCCAAAGTCATAAGTATGCATAAATACCTTTGCCCTAACCGATATATTTATTTTTGAATTTTATTTTGTTTACCTGCAGACTAAGGTGTTTGCTAATGTGTTTTTTTTTTTTGTTCTTCCAGTAGTCATCTGTTTACAAATTTCAAAACAAGTATTTAAGGGAAAAATGTAATAGCCAAAAAAAATATGCAAAATTTCTTACTGATTTTCATTAGGGTCACTGTAGCTCTATTGGCAATTTTAGTCATTGAGGTGTGAAACGCTTATGGATTAATGCGTCCGTTACGAGCTATTTGCTGATACAAAAATTTTAAAAGTTTTTTCTGCGCAAAATTTTAAATTCTAGAAATTTTGCGTGCTCCACAATAAATTGATTGACTTTTTTTTCAACATAATAATATTTATTATGGTAACTATTCGAATACCCTATGTGAAGGTATTTAAATATTTTTTTTTTTTTAATTTTCCAACGCGGTTTAAAAAACTGTTTAATGCAGCAACGATTTACTGAAAACTTTGTTAAATATTTATTGTTAGATTTTAAATACAGTTATGAAAGAAATATTGGTGAAAAATTGTTTATGCCAAAATTTTGCTATAAAATCATGCTCAGGGGAAATTTTTTGTGAACACAACCTTTTGTTGGTATAAACTTTTATATGGCTTAAATATTTAAACATACACAATATTTTTAAATAAAAAGTTGTATTTTACATTTGATAGTTCAAACGAGTTCTTGATTCTTACAATTTTTTTTTTTTTTTTTGGTTTTTTTTTTTGTAATATGGTTGCTCAGCGCCATATTTTTCGTAGCATTGCCTGACCATAAATCCCATAGATGCCAACCCTAGTAAAAGCAAGCCTCAAAATTTGCAGCCACTATAATATATGTATATCATATTTGGCAAACATCTGCAGCAAATAGCAGCAAATAGCAGCAAATCATATACCGCCAGTTTTGCTGATGCCCACATTTGCTCTCGCCTTGGCTAACAAACATTTTGTTGTGGCAAAATATGGCAGGTAAGCAAAAATCATACAAGCACTTAAGCGCGCTCTAGGGAAGTAAAAATATAATTCCAAATGATTGCCAACATTATTGTTGTAAGCCTACTTAGCATGCATGAATGCAGACACATTTAGCCAATTTCCTTCCCCTAAATTTGATTTAATTTTTTTTTCTTGTTTTAGTTTAGTTTTAAAGCAGCAGAGAAGGCCCTTATTTGATCATCTGGAGCATAAGAGTGCCTTTGTCTATCCAATCAAATCATGCAAAGCATTATTTTCATATCAACTTAAAAACTTTTATAGGTATAGATTCAGTTTAAATGTAAACATACATATTTACATGAATCGTCTACTTATAACCTGCCTTGCCAACACTCTGCACGTGCCTCAATTGCACTGTGTAAACGTGCAAACATTCCGCTCTTCCCGCCCATTGGAAATTGACGCAGTGGCAGCATTTTGATTTTATGACTCGACACTTTACATCGCAAACAATAGACGGAAATAAATGCTCATTTCCAATTGCAAGACAAAGCAAAAATGGAACTTCATTTATTTTCCCTTTTGTTTGAAGTTTTTATTTTATTTTTATTTCAAAGTGCTTTTGAGAATGAAAAAATTGCTAAAGACAGATAGAGACTATTGAAAAAAACATTTCTCTTGAGATCCGCGTCAAATAAGAGTACCTTGAGGTACTCTCAATACATTTCGGTCCTCTGCAGCCTGGATGAGCTGATTAGTTTAATTCTGATCTTGTCTATGACTAGTTATTTTTGCTTGTTGTATGATTCGACTGAATACATTTTTTTTTGGATTCATATTAGCAGTCAAAAGCTCTTGAGAAGCCCATTTCTGGCTCAATGGCTATGTAAACAAGAAAAAATTCTGCAATTATGACGACGAGCAATCTAAAGAGATTCAAGTTCTGCAATTTCATCTAGAAAAAAAAAAACAAAGTTTGGTGTGGTTTGTGTGGCCGATGGAATCATTGGTCCATATTTCTCCAAGAGTGACGCAGGTGAGACTGTAACCGTCAATGCCAACCATTACCGCGCCATGATAACCGACTAACTGTTGCTTTAAATTGAAGCTCGTGCACTCGGTGACATTTGGTTTTAACAAGACGGTGCAACTTATCACAAATCGCATCAATCGAGGAATTTACTGAAAGAACACTTCGGGGAGCAGATAAGTTCACGTTTTGTGCAGCAAAATCGATCACCAAGCGATATCACGCCATTCGACTTTTTCCTATGCAGATATGTAAAGTCTAAAGTCTATGGGAACAATCCCGCTTCAACCCAGGCTTTAACGCAAAACATGATGCGTGTGATTCGCCAGTTACCAGTCGAAGTGCTCGAACGAGTCATTGAAAATTGGACTCAGCGAATGGATCAGCTCAGACCTTGCCGTGGCCAACATTTGCAAGAGATAAATTTCATAGAGATTAATGCCAAAGAAAGTTTTTTTGAGTAGTCAAAAAAATTCACCATTGAATATGAATTTTATTTGTTTTTTTTTTTTCTTGGGAAAAGTAGGAAACCCCGAAATGAGGGTGGTCCGTTAAATATTTATCACGAATGAAAAGAATTTAAAGAGCAAGAATTTATAATCAAGGCAAATGGTTGCTTGATCTCGTATAATGAGCGGTATACTCACTTGCTCCAGCTAAGGATACCGAAATTAGTTTCATTACCAGTTTATTTGTTTTATTGCTATGTCAGGTTAAAATCCGTTCCATCAGAAAAGTACTTGCACTGAAGATATTATTATTTTTCCTTTACTAGGATTCGCTGTGCAGTAGTAGCAGTCATTGGCGTGGTCTTTGGTTCTCACCTTTCTTCTTCATTCTTTTTCTGGCGGCCCGTGCCACCAACATCCTGAAGCTATGGAAAATTTATTTAAATAAAAAATTGAATTTTCTAATTGCGGTCGCCCTTCGGCAGGGAAAGTAAAGCACACAATGTATTTCTACCAAGAAATAAAATGACAATTTAAGTGGAATCAATATTGTTTTTATTCCCAAATAAAATAACTTTAAGGGCACAATAATACGACTGCAGAGATATATTTGCTTGAAACCAGAATCGTTTTACAATTTTACTTGGTTTAACCACTAATTCACTAATTCTTTAAGATTTATTTGGCAAACAGTTTACACTAAGGATAGTATCTAAAGGAATTTTGAATGCAACAACAATGCTTAAACAATGCTATTTTGTTCTATAGTCGAATTATTAAATATTTCTTAGCAAAAAAAGATAAAAATATACTCAATAATTTTTAAAGCTTTCTTTGGATGACTTTTGAAAATTGAAAGTGAACGAAAAATTTATATTTTTGTATACAAAAATTTAATGTACGAAAATTCATTTCCTCACCTTGGTTTCAATTACCTAAAATTAAAAAAAAAAAATCAAAGATTATTAAATAAAAAATCTAATGAACTAAAGAAGCAGAGTTGAACTCGTTGCGATTATTAAGGTAAAAATGTTAGAATTAAAATTTTTTAAAGTAAACTTTCCACTTTATCATTTAAAAAATATAAATTTCTTGCTATTGCTAGTATTTCAATTTATATATTTACTACGATATTTACTAAGATTTGTGCCTTAAACTCGCATTTAAAGTTTGCACGAATTTACTGCTTGCACAATTCTTCGCCTACAAAGCACCCACACACACTCACCCTCGCTAGATTTGTTTGTCACGCAATGCAGGAATCTTACAAATATTTTGTTGTCATTAACGTTGCACATTAGCTCCGCCACATTAGTGGTTACCACACATTACTCGTGACACGCACAGTTGCCACCTCAACAATTAGTCAACAATTTGTACGATTTAATACTAAAACGTCGCCGCGCGTTAAATGGTTGACGTGTCGCATGTAATTTAAATTATATTAAGAAATATGTAGTTGCGGTTGTAATCGATTTCTAAAGCTCAGTGTTTGACTTAACAAACTTTGGTATGCTGCCACAGTAGTCGAGTATTTAGCAGTGTGTGCTATTATGCGGAAAGTTGTGGACTCAAATCCTGGGCAGACCAAAGTACGTACAAAGTCAAACAAAAAGAAAAAAAAAAACTTGGTTTTTTTGTAATTTAACGAAAATTTGTAAGTAGTTTTTGCAGCTTTCTGAATCACCGGCATCCCGATCTCCGTTGCCTCAGCCCCTAAATTACCCCGAAGCGAAACAGTTCGAAATTGGCAAAAGTTTGCAAGGCGGTTATTTTCATTATGCGATGCTTCACATATGAAACCAAGGTTCAAACTGTAGAAGAAATAAGGAAGTTCTTGAAATAATTTATTCGAAATGCATTTACGTAACGTTTAATTTTGAAATTTTCAGCAAATTTGAGATAACTCATAAAATTTGTAAAGCTTAAGAGAGCCCCTAGTTTAGTTTAAATACTGTTATATAATATAAAACAACTGTAAACAAATAAGTAAGCAAACAACTCTGAAGTCTCTATGTCTGTGTATACATACATATATATCAAAAATCAAATCTCACAACTCGACACACCACAAAACTTTCTAGCCACAAACTTGTGATTCTCTGAAAACCATAACCACTAAGTTTTATCTTCATACAAAACTCTAACGCAATTTAATGCCTTCCCTCCCTCGCTCCTTCCTGCCGGTATACTCCACACTTTGTTTGACCCACTTCACTTTAGCTATCACAGCTACTTCAACATAATTTTTGTTATTCTAACCGGATGGTGTTGGAGCGTTTAATTCTACTGAATATAGTAAACTGGAATGAAAACAAAAGCGAAAACCAAAATAGATATAAATAAATAATATGGTTGAACAAAAGTCTTTCTATCCTCAAAATAATCGTTGTGTCTCGTAGAAATAGATATTATTGTTGTTGTAGTTGAGATGACTTTGAACTTCGACTTCCGGTTATTTTTGTACACGAAGCTAAATCAACAAATTTTAGTGAATTTTATTCCTTCTTTTCGTTTTTTATTAAAATAATAACTGGCGGCCGATGAATAACCGAGTAGTTAGCAGTATGTAAGCCCATTCGGAAGGTGGAGGTTTGAGTCCAAAAACTATTAAAAGTTAGTTAAAAAAAAAAATAAGCTTATTCTTCTAATTGCGGCTGTTACTCGGTTGTGATTATCAACCCCTCTTAGCGTATCTATAACATGAAGACTCCTCATAAAAAACCAGCAGCGATTCGGAAACGGCTTAGAGCAAACTGTAGGTCCCTCCATTTGATGGTGAAACTTTAAGACGCACATCACAATTTGGAGGATTAAATAAGGATTAAGGAAAGAAGATCGTTTTGTATAACAGGTTCTTCCTGAAACAGGCAGTGTTTTTAAAGCTACACAGGCATTAAAGCTTAGTAGCGATAACAAACACAAAATATCATAGAACCAGCAGGTCCATTTCGTGCTAACGAAGGCTGCTTTGCATTCGATGAAGTATAGCTTTTTTCATGATTATTTTCAATAACTTGACGCATTGTGAATAGCAGGTTTAAAGCCCGCTTGAGAAGGTGCAACCAATTTGTTGACGGCAGGGATTATTTTTCACATAGTAGACTAGATGGAATTCTAAATTCGATGCTAGAGAGACACCGATATGGTGTCCCAATTTTGCGGTTTGGATAGGGCGAACTAAAGTTTTAATCGCCACAATTGGGTTGCAAGAAAATTACCCTAAATAAGGGGCAAAGGAAAAAACGGCAAACAATTGGTGAATAGCACTTATTAAAACCTCAAAATTTTTGGCATAAAGTACTGTGGGGTGAGTCGATAATTAATCTTAGTTATTCACATGGCATGGTTTACGTTTGGCGCTCACCCTAGGAGGAACTACCACACAAGTGCACCCTATCCACATTTAAGTAGGTGGAAAAGTAGGTAGTAAGTAGGTGGAATGGTACTAGCAATATTGTGGTTCTGGAAGGAAAAGTTGCTGCTGCAGTTTATTTAAATATTTTAAAGGAGCACGCCATCCCCGAGGGTTAACGACTATTTGGACCGGATTTCCTTCTTCAATAGGACAATGCGCCCATTCATACTGCAACATTCTTCGAATAACTAAAAAATGGTAATGTATGTGTTGAGTTGGCCTCTTCAAAAACTTGACATGTCACCAATTGAGAATGCATGTGCAATCCAAAAGATGCGCATAGCTGAAGAGATAACTTAAAGCCCGGCTGAATTGAAGGACTGTATCTATAACACTTGGACAAATTTTCCTCAAAATGAATGTTTGAAAATTGTTAATTCCATGCCACCACGGTTGAGTAATCTAGTAATGCAACAAATGGACATTAGGATATTAAACAATTTCATAACTTTTTTTTCTATATAAAATTTACCTAAATTTTCCTTAATATTTTCTTTTCATAAAATCAATTAATTTCTTACTTGTTTTGAAAATACTTTAATATGGTCGCAATAATTTGATTTAAAAAAAAAATTATTTTGTTTGAAAAAATATAGACTTAAAAATTTCTTTCACCTCGCTGCTTTACCCACTGTATGCACATACAAATAGAACTAACTAACCATCAACGGCTAGAATATTTGTATATAAAGTCATCCGTCAATCAATAAGGCAAGATCCTCTCGCATGGTAAGGTCAAGATGAGGTTCTATATATATATTTATATATATATATATATATATATATATATATGATGCGCAATCCCTTAAAAGTTGCGAAGATCTACTCCAAGCTTGTAACTTGTGGCTTACTGTACTACATTTGGGACTCATACAAAGAAAAACATTTAATTTAATATAGCAGAAAAATCATATTTCGGTGTTCATCATAACTTACTTCGGCAACTCCTTGTGACCATATCTGAATAACTCAACCGACATACCATCAACTGCTAAAGTTTGCTGTTTTTCAGGAGGGAAATTACTACTCGGTGTTCATCAAAGTCGGGAGATAGAGTAAGCTTTACATCATCATCAATGGGGATTTCGGGATTGCCATCTGCGGTTGTTTCATTTCTACCACAACTAAGCAGGCTACAACCCCAGAAAACCCTGGCAACTGTCATCAGATCACGTATATTGTTCTGACTCGAGTATATTCCCATCTTCTGAAAGGCTCCGAATTTTTTCAACAGTTTTTCGAGCATTATTCACATCAACCAGCTTCTCATGTTCCTCATACACATACATCGGCTCATCTCTTTAGCCAATATCCCTACCAAAAATATGTCAATTACTTCATAAATAATTTTTTTGGTATCATATATTATTAAGAAATAGTCTAAAGGTCATTTACTATTTATTTCTTTAAAAACAAGTGAAGATTTTTTTACCATAAGACTTTTTTAGAGATTATTCAGCTTTTCGCTTTATTCACTTTAAAAATTTCTTGAAATAGTAAAACTCAGCAAGCAAACCTTTTTGATTTTTTTAGGCTCTTGCCTTTTGGCAAACAATCGTTTTTCAAAAAAGCACACAGAAATACTAAATTGAGTTGGGTTGACAACTATTTTGAAGTGGAGTCCCACTGTTTTTATTGTCCTTGTTTTTTTACGCGAAACGAAATGGTAGGTGCAGTGAAGTAAGCTTGAACACACGCATTACTGGAGGATATTGTTTTGTTTATGTAAATTAGTCTCGTCCAGACAGACACGCAGACAGACATACAACACACTGCGCTTTCTAGATACATACATTACTCAAAAAAATTTGTGGAGTTTAGTCTTATTTTAGAAAAGGAAGGTACTCGCATGCA